TAGCCGGAGGAGGAGGACGAACAAGAGGAGGAGGAGGAGGCGCAGGAGGGAAGCAAATTCATGACGGAGGAGGAGCATGGAGGAGGAGGAGGAGGAGGAGGAGGAGGAGGAGGAGCCTGGCATCGCCTGTGTTTGCCCACGGGTTGCCCCCGGAGGCGTCCTGGCTGCCGTGACGAATTTCAGGAGGAGGAGCAGCAGGTGGGAAGATGGGTGCGGGAATAGGAGCATCGAGGGCGGAGGAGGGAGTGGAGGGTTGGGGGGAGGGCTGCGGAGGAAGGGAGCAGGTTGGAGGGTGAGGAGTGATCAGGGAGCATGGTGGAGGGAGGCCAGGGACGAGGAGGGGGGAATCGGATTGGTGTGGCGCTCCGCATAGGAGGCATCGGAGAGGGGGAGGAGGAGGAAGAGGAGGCGGAGGAGGAGGAGGAGGAGGAGGAGGAGGAGGAGCTGTAGGATTCGCAGGGGGAGTCCAGCTCGAAGGCAGGTTGAATGGAGGAGGGCGCACCCCTGCTTACCACATGCGCTGCGCTGCCTTCGCCCCCGAGGCCAAGCACTCGTCCTCAACGGCGACGCGTACAGGGAGACCCTGAGGCGCCTGGGGGCGGGAGGTGACGCACGCGTGTGCATGGAGGTGTTACTTGATCTGCAGCGGTTTCTGGCTACAGTTTCGCCAGGCAGCCGCAGTTGTGCTCCTTTGGGGAGTGTTTTCCACGTGCGCAAGTGGTTCGAATCGGGCCCACCGTGCGTCAATTGAGCGGCAGAAGAGGGGATCTGAGCACCGTGTTCTCCAATCAGTGTGCCGCATCCGGCGGTGTTGGCATGCGGGAAGCCATCGCGCACGGTCGCCGTGGTTTTAAATATCCTCGACATGTTTGGTATGTTCTGTTCTTCGAACGCCTACGGAGATCTCCAGGAGAGGAGGGCTGGAGTCGAATAAGGAACAGCTGCATACAATATACAATGTCGGAGCCCCGCGCGGATTTCCTGGATCGGCGCTGGGCACCCGTGGCGCTGCTTCAGGCGCCGCCCCTGGCGCGCTCCGCGCGCCGGGCAGGGGGTTCCAGCGCCGATCCAAGACATCCGCGTGGAGCTCGACAGTGCCTGTTTATATGCAGCTTGCTCCTCTTCTGGATGCGGGCTGGAGGAGCGTCCAAGGTGTCACCGTCGGGTGCATCGGTGGGGGTGGTCGGGGTGGCCGCACGGTGGTGGGTTTGGGGTTGTTCTCCGAGGACGTCTCGGGCGGTGGGGCAGAACCTTCTGCAGTGATGGACCGTTCGGTGGGGTCTCTGGATCTCGGGGCCACCGCACGGTTCTGCCACAGCACAGTTCTGGGACCCCCACGAGTGGGGGGGATGACTGGGCATGGGGGAGGAATGCACAAGCCGGGAGCGGCGGGTGTGGAGGGGGCTTCGCGTCGGGGGCCAGGCAGTTTGGGTTGCTCGTGCTTGGCTCAGGGCACCTGCCGCTGTTGCTGCATGGGGGAGGAGGAGGCGGAGGAGGGACTGGGACCAGGACCAGGGCGGTGGCCTGCCTCCGAGGAGGCAGGCCCGAGAACGCAGGCTGGCTCCCCCACAGGCAGGCCGCCCAACCCACGCCGCCCAACGACCCCCGCCCAAAATCGGGGGGATGGAGAGAAAGACGCGACGGGCCGCAAGAGCGGCAGGCCAGGCAATGATGCAACGTGCAAAATGATAAACTCCTCCTCTCCTCCCCCTCCTCCTCCTCCGCCCTCCTCCTACTCCTCTCCTCCTCCTCCTCCTCCTCCTCCTCCTCCCCCTCCTCCTCTTCCTCCTTAAGGCGGGCGGCAAAGGGGGGGTGGGGGGGGCAGCACACGCAGGAGGATCGACGAGTGCAGGAAGCGGGCCCCGAAGGGCTCCTAATGAAGCTGCCACCGCGGGCCGGGCGCACACGCACGAAGAGTGCGCAGCTCTCTCTGCACCCCGCGCGCCTTGCCCTACCCCTCCCGTTGCCCCTGGCACCGCTCGGACGCGTGCATTTTCTTTCTCGGCGAGGACCTTCGAGGAGCATCCTCGACCGTCTAGCGAAAAAACCACGCACGCAACCGAAAAAAGCACAGTGAATGGACGTCCGAGCGATGGCCAGTGCCGAGCACCCGAGATGAGGGAGGCGAGCATTCGGGTCACCGGGCCGCCGTGGCCGCGTGGCGTGCCGACAGCAGCCGCGACGACGACCGCGGCGACGGCGACCCCCTGGGATCCGACGAGGCACGCAGCTGCCACGTCGAGAGGCACCGCGACCCGGGCCCCATATAGACCCCGTCCTCCCGCGGCGCGCTCCGCGCCGCGTCGATCCGTGAGGGCCCCCGGGGACCGGCACCGGGCGCAGGCGCCCGGGCCGCGTGGATGACAGCGACGAGGACGCAGAGCTCCGGCGTCGTGCTTTTGCCATGCGCGGTCCCCGCGAGTCTCTCCCACCCGTTCCCTCGGGACCGGTCTTTCCTCCTGAGCCTCTTTTGTTGACGGTCCCAGGGCTCGGCGAGGGCCCCATGGAACGCCGAAGGATGCCAGAAAGCAGAGCGTCTGCCTCGATCTTTTTGTTCCATGCGTTGGATCTCTGGGGGATCGCGGCGGCGGCGGCGGCGGGGGCCTCAGCGTCGTCGGGGCCCGCCGGGCGGCCGGGCCCTTTGCCTTGGCATCGCTCGGACGTGTGCATTGTTCCTCCGGCGAGGACCATCGAGGCGCATCCCAGATCATTTGGCGAAAAGGCCACGCACGAAACGGAGCAAAGCACAGGGAATCACCATCTACCAAACCACCCCAACCCAACCCGAAGGCCTCAATTTGCCCTCCATTTCCAGTGGGGGAGGGTCGGGGAACGTTGAAAAAACACGTGGAACCCGTACCCCCCCCAACCCGAAATTCGGGTCAAATTCGGATCTTCGGGTTGGGTTGGGGTGGTCTGGTAGGCAGTCAGGGAATGGACGTCCGAGCGATGGCAAGTTGCCGCAGGAAGGGCACGCTCCTGGACCTGTGCGACGCGGACGCGCCCTCCGCGGGCGAAGGCCTGCTGCGCTCGTCGCCGTCGCGCCCGCGCGGCGCCCGCAGCGCCAGCGCCGCGACGTCGGCGTCGTCGTCGTCGTCGTCGTCATCGCCGTCGTCGTCGTCGTCGTCGCCGTCGTCGGCGTCGTCGTCGTCGGCGTCGTCGTCGGCGTCGTCGTCGTCGTCGCCGCCGTCGTCGTCGTCTTCGTCGTGTTTGCCGTCCTCGGGTCCCCGTCGCCGTCGCCGCGTCTTACCAGCTCGAGGCAAGTCCCTACCCCCATGGTCGGCATCACCCTGAATCGATGCCGATCTCACTGACGCCCTCAGGTTCTGAGGGCGCATCTCTAAGATCATCGCCTGGACGCTTGCTGATCTTAGGGATACTGATCAGCTCGAGGCTGGTTTGCGTCGCTGTCGCAGCGTCAAGCAGGGTACCGCCGCGTTTTTGACTGCCTTTGATTTCGCAAGCACAAAAGGTCGCTCCGTGGCTTGGGTGGGAGGGGGGGGGAGTGAGAAGGGGCGGGCCTTCTCAGAAGGCTCGGAAGTCCCCAGGCCTTCTGAGAAGTTTTCAAGGCCTTCCCCGAAGACGCCGAAATCTTCTCAGAAGGCGCGAGGGCTTCTGAGAAGTCCCGCCGCCTTCTGAGACGGCCTTTTCCTTCTCACTCCCCCCCCTCCCTGGCCACCGATCTGGTCATCATTGGTATTTTCTGGGAGCTCGAAGGTGCGACTCTTTACCAGCCCTGGTACGCAGAAGGGGTGTACATTTTGGTGGACATGGCGGTGCTCCAGGCAGAGATGATCGCATTGGATCGGGCATTTGAGTATGTAGCACATTTAGCCGCTTGTTTACTTATTGTTTCGCCAGTCAGCGCGAGCCCCCGCCCCCCCCTCGCCCCCCCCCGCCATAGACCAGTTCTTGGCGGCTTTGGGCGTCTGGCCAGGACCCCTCCGCTCCAGGCTACTTGCGTCACTGGCAGAAGGAGATTGACTAAGCATTGGCCCAGACCCAGACCGCCCCCTCCCCCACCCTGAGGCCGAATGCCGAGCCCCAGAATAATCAAAACGCTTACCAATGAGTTCGCACAGTCCCCGGCCAGCCCTGCAGGAGTTCCGAGCTGCAGCGAAACGAAACGAGACGACCTAGTATTAAGTCGGGCCAGTCCCTCTACAGGGGGAATGTTCAAAAACAGTCAAAAAATAGTCCGGGAACTGTTCTTTGATTATGTTTCCACAGTTTCAGAACATGTTTGGGGTATTGTTATCTCTTCGCCCAAAATCCCCCCTGTAGGCTGACACTCCCGACTTAGGACGACCTTAGGGCTACGAGATCTATACATATCCACTGCTCCTGGCCAGGCCCATCCTGGGCCCGGGAGCGGTGCATACGCCCTCGTGGCCTAGCCAGGGGGACATATACACCGCTCCTGGACCCAGGATGGGCTTGGCCAGGAGCAGTGGATATGTATAGATCTCGTCGCCCTAGACCTGGTACACGGGGTCCATGGGGTCGGCGGGGCCTGCTCGGGCCGCCCCGGGGGCCCGGGCTGGCCTCCCCCGCGCCGGGGCCCACGGCGTGGGCCAGTCCGGGTGGGGCCTTCGACGGCCCGGGCGTTGGCTGGTCGGCGTCTCCGCCACAAGGAGCAGGTACACTTAAGAACTATTGAGGATAATCGGACAAATGCGCGCGAGTTGACTGCGATCGCAACTAGGAGCGGGGCGGGGCGGGGGACGCGGCGCGCGCTCTGAGTTAGTTATTTGCTCGCGCGCGCTTTCGGGCGGCAGCCCCGCTCCGCGGCGCGCCTCGCCTAGTCGACCTCTCCTTGGTCTCTGGGGCGGTGGCCTCGGCGAAACTCCGCTCGTGTCTCCCGCCAGGAGACGCCCTCGCCAGGAGGAATATTTGAGAGGAATATTTGAGGATAATCAGAAACATCGCATGTGCCACAGGGGCATGTCCCTCCACAGGGGGGAATCTTTGAGGATCATCGGGGACATCGCACGGTGGACCTCTCCGCCACAGGGAACGTGTACACGCTGGTCGTTGAAAGTAGGTAGTTTTGGATTCCCGGATCCCAATCTCAATCTGCTTCAAGCGCCTTCCTACTTCAAGACTCGGCATGCGTTTGCTGTGTTGTTTTGTTCTCTATGAGGACCTGGACCCGATCCACTATATCCGCCTTCCGTTTCATGTTTCTACCTATTTCTTCCGACCGACGTGTACATTGAAGGCGGGCATGTCACTTCACAGGAGGAATATTGGAGAATCATCGGGAAAATCGCATGTTGACGATTCATCATGCCTTTCTGTTGACTCATTCCCTACCTAGGCTCTGCCTAGAAGGGTTCTTACTCTCTTAGCTTAAAGGTGCCGGGCAGTGCAAAGCGCCCTGGGCGGTTCCCCCAGTCCCTTGGGAGCGGTTCCCCCCAGCCCCCTGGGAGCTTTAGCTTTAGCTGTAGCTTTAGCTTAGCTTTAGCTTAGCTGTAGCTTAGCTTTAGCTTAGCGTTTCGCTTAGCTTTTCGCTTAGCGTTTAGCTTAGCTTTAGCTTAGCTTTAGCTTAGCTTGAGCTTAGCTTGAGCTTAGCTTGAGCTTAGCTTTAGCTTAACTTTATTTTAGCTTTAGCTTAGATTTAGCTTAGCTTTAGCTTAGCTTTAGCTTAGCTTTAGCTTAGCTTTAGCTTAGCTTTAGCTTAGCTGTAGCTTATCTTTAGCTTAGCTTTAGCTCAGCTTTAGCTTAGCTTTAGCTTAGCTGTAGCTTAGCTGTAGCTTAGCTTTAGCTTAGCTTTAGCTTCGCTTTAGCTTAGCTTTAGCTTAGCTTTAGCTTAGCTTTAGCTTAGCTTTAGCTTAGATTTAGCTTAACGTTAGCTTAGCTTTAGCTTAGCTTTAGCTTAGCTTTAGCTTAGCGTTACTATTACTACTAATGTTGCTTTCCTAGGGGTTCCAACTCCTAGGTAGGGTCGCACTGGGATACTTTCGATCATTCTTTGACACTTTGTTATTTGTCTTCCAAAATCCGCCTGTAGGAGGAAATGCCCGACCTAAATATACGCAGACACTCAATGGATAGTTCCTGGGCCTCGGGGGAGGATGGCGGTGTACAAGTCACCACTGGGAGCCAGCGACTTTCGACACCGCCCTCCCTGAAGGCACAGTCGAAGTTCGTCGGAGGCTGTCTGAGCATGTATCGACCTGCCGCAGCATCACCCACACGTACTCACTCCATGTGTGCGTCGCCTCCCCGCCCACCCCCCCTCGGGGCGACGCGCGCGCGCTCACACATCTTGTGGTATGTGCTCGGTGGCGGGCGCTTCCTGTCTTCACCACCTGGCCAACGACATGCCATATGATGCTTATACTATGTGATCGGTCTGGACGTGCGCCTCCGAGAGGGCGCAGCATATTGGTATGTCCTCTTGCGTCCGATGCAGGCTGCGTAGCCATCAGCATATTTTCGCAGCAGCCCACACCTCTCCCTCTCGCGGAGGCGCCACCGTGTTGGAGGAGCGCATGCGCACTTTGCTCGCGGACGAGGCGCCCGCAGCTGCGACGATCGGCGGCGCATGGACACGCTCAGGATCTGGACGGCACCAATCCTGTAACCTCAGGATGTCTCTAGTTTTACACACCCCCCTGTTTCTATCGGCGGAGAACAAACTTTCAGGACGTCGGTAAGCGTGTGAAGGTATATCTTATGTTTACTATGTGGGGGGGGGGTCTACAGACCTATGGCGGGCACCTGAAAGGCAAGACGGAAAGCCACAGACAGGACGACATTGCCCTTGTTTTCGCCTTGTTGGGTCTTCTGGGAGGTCCTCGTCGCCACGGCTGGATTCGCCTCGAAGTCCTGGTCAGAGTCAGAACGCACCCCGGGATAGGTCCGTGGAGTCAGTGGTATTCATCAGGTCAGCGGCCAGGATCACGCCCGCCGCCGATCGTGCCAGCGCGGGCGGAAGTGTGTATCGGACGCCCGTCACACGTCTGGCGCCCTCCCGAGGAAGCATGTGGATCGTTTCGAAGCGCTCTCGGAGCGCTGCGGCACGGCAAGGAGTGGCCGTGAGGCCCGATGCATCTTGCTCGAGTTGTTTTTGCCTGGGTCGCATGGGCGGCCAGGAAGGAGGAGGAGGAGGAGGAGGAGCAGGATTAGGAGGAGGAGGAGGAGGAGCAGGACCCGGAGGGAGGGAAGAGTTGGCGGGCAGGCGAGGCCCTCGCTCACGGGTGGCTGTCTCGCCCGCGGGCACTCGCTCCGGCGGTCCCAGCAGTCCCCTCAAAGAGATGCTTGCCGTCACGGTGGGGTCCTCCTGGGCCGTGGATGGGGGGAGAGGACCAGGCGCCAAGTTCGGATGCAACTCCTAGGAGGTCATATTCTGATTTTGCCCAGGTCCGTAAACCGGCTTAATCCCGTTTAATTTTGGTTGATTCCGTTTAATCCGGCTTAATCCCGTTTAATCCGAGGCCCTCTCCGGCGTAACAGCTCCCAAATGTGGCTTAATCCTCTTTAATATTTCGGACGAAAGACTCCCAGTAGTTCTCTCCTAAGCCAAGCGGGGTCACCTCATGCTGTGGGATCCCGGATTGTGAGCAGGCCTAGGTGGGACCCGCGCGCCCGTCTTACACTGGTCTCCTCCTCTCGGGCACAGCAGGTGTGAGGTCTGTGCTGGTGCTGTTTGGGTTATGAGCAAGATAGGCTGGAGTTGCACCATGGGCCGTCTCGTCGTCCACATTGTTCAATCATGCCCATACCCCAAGGGTGGACGTGCCCAAACTACATGGCGCGATGCACTTCGGGCCCAGCGGTCTGGAATAGTCAGCGAAGGAACAGGTTCTGATACCGTGACTCTTGCCATAGTTTTTATTTTTGTGGCCTCCTGGGGGCTCTCGACGTTACGGTTGGATTCGCCCTGAAATCGTCACAACGCACCTTGGGAAAGGTCTGGGGAGTAGCGGTGTCGGTTTTGTTCCTGCTAAATACGGCGCAATAGTCCAGCGGCGTTCCATGGTGTTTGGTGGCGTTCAATGCTACTCGAAAGTTCATCCTGTTGCACGGGCGCGCACGTGCACCACAATGAGAATACGCCTCTTCCACCCCGTTGCTCAACCTAGGCCCTGCAACAGGCGGGCCGCCCTCGCCGCTTGCCATTCGTTTACACTTTTGGGCGACATGAGCTCGTACGCTCGGTTCGCGCGGCGATGGCGCGTCCGGCGACGCCAGCGAATGGCGCTCACGGTGGACCTGTCCTGCGAAGACGCCGCACGGCAGACCGACGCGGAAGCAGCGAGGGACACGGCGACGCCACGAGACCCGACGGAATCCCACCGGGCACGATCGGGGCCGCGATCGGGGTTAAAAGGTGGAGCGAGCGAGGCGGTGTCGAATGACCTGCTCCGCGCGCAGAGGCCGCGCGGGCCTGCCGCAGGCACCCCGCGCAGGTTCTTGCGCTCGCGAGGAAGGGATGCCACCGTCATGCTCTCTGGGTTGCAGCACCCTCCTCCTCCCTCTCCTCCTCCCTCCTCCTCCTCCTCCTCCTCCTCCTCTTCCTCCTCCTCCTCCTCCTCCTCCTCCTCCTCCTCCTCCCAGCCCGACCGTTACTCGCCGCCGCTGGCGCTTCCGCCCGCGGTTGTAAAAAAAAGAGGAAGGGGTGCCACCTCGCCTGGGGTGGAGCGGAACAAGTGCGTGCGCGTCCCCGCCACGGCTTAGCATCAGCATCGTCAGGGGCAGCGACAGGTGGGGACACGGGAGGAGCCCTACCACAAGAGGCCTTCCAGGAGAAACCCAACTTCGAGACCCCAGGACGTCCACTGCTTTTTTTATTTCTGTGGGAACGTCACGCTTCCCATGGCAACCAACATCGAAGCCCAAGAATCCCAGGGCGCCCTGGAGGCAAGCCGGGTGTTTCTTGGCATAGGCATAGGGGTGGATGCATCGACACCCAATAGCCCATTGATCGCCGATAGGGTTCTAATGGCCCCACCCCGCTCAGGAATGCGGATTTGCTACCGGGTGCCTCTCGCCGATCGATCATCGCCGATTCTAGGTCGAACCTCCCCCCCCTCATGCCAGTTCCCCCTTATCGTTGCGCCTCACATCCTTGTCCTTCGCCCAGTGTGCCTCGGGTTCTTCTGGGTGCGCGGGGGCCTCGTGGACACCGCGCGACGTGTTGCCGAGGAAAGGTCCGCGCGCGCGCGTGTGTGTGTGTGCGCGTGTGTGTGTGTGTATGTGTGTGTGTTCGTGGTTGTGTTTGTGGTTGTGGATGTGGATGTGGTTGAGGTTGAGCTCGTGTTTGTGGTGGTGTTTGTGCCTGTGTTTGTGTTTGCGTTTTTTTTGCTGTTTTTGTTCCTCCCCCGGGACTGTGTCAGTGTCTGTGTCTGAGTCTGTGACTTCGTCTGTGTTTGTGTTTGTCTGTGGTGGGTGTGTTTGTGCTTGTGTTAGTGTGCCTATCTTTGTTTGCGTGCTTGTATGCGTGATGATGTTTATGTTTGCGTTTGTGTTTGTGTGTATGGTCGGCTTAGTGTTTGTGTTTGCCTGCGTGTGCTTTTGCGTTTGAGTTTGCGTGTGTGTGTGTGTTGCTTGTTGTTGTGTTGTTGTGTTTGTGTTTATGTTTGCATGTGTGTGCGTGTCTGGTTGTGTGTGTGGTTGTGTTTGTGTGTGGTTGTGTTGATGTGTGGTGTTTGTGTGTTGTGTGTGTCTGTGTGTGTGTGTTTGTGTGTGTATGTTGTGATTGTGTTTGTGTTTGTGTGTTTTGAGCTTGGCAGGAGATAGACGCGCGCGTTCCTCCGTTTGCATTCGGCTTTCTACGCCCAGTCGCCGCGCGCGGGGCCGCGACGCCAAATGTGTGCGTGTGAGAGAGAGAGAAGGAGCAAGCGAGCGAGGGAGAAGGAGAGTCGGTGCGGGCGTCTGTGTTCTGCCAGGTTCGATTTGTCCTCTCAGAGGTTCGCGTTCTCCACGTGGCAAGAAGAGAGGCGGACAGCGGGGGACAGTGTTAAAGATACCTCTGGCCGTACGGGCCATGATTGCGTTCCGCGCCAATTCAAGACATCCGCGCGGAGCGCCAAAGGCTCGTGCTCGTGGCGCCTTCTCTTCTCAGCCTCGCGAGGGCGGGGCGGAGAAGGCGCGCCCTCGAGCCGCGTGCAGCGATCGGCAGGCCGCGGGCCCCGAGGCCGCGCCTGAGCTCCGACGCTGCGAAAAGACGCAACGCCGCGAAGGGCCACATCCTGAGCCCTGGGCCCAGAGATCTTAGGCACTTCCCTTCTCCTCCTCCTCTCCTCTTGTTCCTCCTCCTCCTCCTGTTCCTCTTCCTCGTCCTCCTCGCCCTCTTTTTCCTCCTCCTCCTCTTCCGCTTCCTCCTCTTCCATTTCTCGTCTTTTTTCAGTAATTTATCCCTGTCGCCATCCGAACAAGGAAGAATGCCATGAACATAAACTTTTGGCGCTCCGCGCTGATTTCTTGGATCCGCGCTGCCTCCAACCCCGGCGGCGCCTCCAGCGCCGCCGCGCCAGGGAAGGGGGTCCAGCACAGATCCGAGGAACCCGCGCGGAGCGCCTTAAAGTTCTCTTGGTGCTGTTTTGTTCGAGCGTTGTCAAAATATCCAGACGGATGTTTTCCACGTTTCGGGCCTCTGGAAGCCCTCGCCAGGTCCTGTGACCGTCTTAAAACGACTCCAGATGAAAATGTGGTTCCCCGTCATGAAACAAATCACGGCGTCGGATATTTGGGTTCCATTGTCCGACCTGGATCGAGCTGTGATGTCCCAGGGTCCGGAGCCCGGCGAGGATAGGCCCTGGGTGGAAAGGTTGCAGTCTCCTCGATCTCAGGGGTTCCTTCCTGGATCGGGGGGGGAGCTATGGCCGCCGCCCCCGCGAGCACATGTTGCGACGGATCAGCTTGTTCGTCGGGGCGGTGTGCAGAGATCGCGTCTCTGGGGGGATGCCGATCCTGTTTTCCGCCTCCTCGTCAACGGTCTCGTGCCGAACCGGCTCGTTCGTGGGGGTGGTGTGCAAAACTCGGGCCGAACGAAAGGGGGGGATAGGGAAAGGCGGGGTTACGAAATCTGCTGCATGCAGCTGGTTTCGGCCCCGCCGCCGGGCCCATTCCTCGATACATGGGCGCCTCCCGGCGCCGGGGAGCGCCGGGAAAATCAGCTACGTGAGCTGATTCTCAAACCCCCCCTTTGCTATCCCCCCCTTTCGCCCGGCCCGAAAAACTCGTGCCCTTCCTGGCCTGTTTGGCCGCACGCGGGCGTGCCTCCTGTGGCCCTGGCCCGGCCCCCCCCCCCCCGCAGGTGAGCCACGACGTCCGCCTCGTCGTCCGCGGCGAGGCGGCGGCGGCCTCTGCTCGCGCCGACCTGCAGCCAGGGGTTAAGCTGGGTCTCGTCCCTCTACAGGGGGAATGTTCAAAAATAGTAAAAAAATAGTCGGGGGACTATTTTTGGATTATTTTTTGAGCATGTTTGGGGTATGCTTGGGGTATTCTTACGTAAATCTTCGCCCAAAATCCCCCTGGAGGGGGACGCGCCCGACTTAAAGCCAGGGGTAGAGGGAGGGGAGGTCGGTGGCGAATCATGGGGGCCCTGTCTACCCCCTTCGATTCCGTCTACAGCGTCGACTGGCGTCTGGAGGTCTACCAGGTGGCGCCGAGTCCGCGCCGAGTCAGCGCCGACGTCCTGTCGATTTGGCTTCGATTTGGCGTCGATGAGCGTCGGTTCGCAAGAGCCCGAGGAGGAGGAGGAGGAGGAAGCGAGGAGGAGGAGAAGGAGGAGGAGGAGGAGGAGGAGGAGGAGGAGGAGGGGGAGGAGGGGGAGGAGGGGAGGAGGAGGAGGGAGGGGGAGGAGGAGGAGGAGGCGGAGGAGGAGGAGGAGGAGGAGGAGGAGGAGGTGGAGGAGGAGGAGGCATGGTGGAGGAGGAGGAGGAGGCATGGTGGCATGGGAGGTTCCCAGAAGCTGCCGCCGAAGGGGCGTCGGCACTCGCGCACGCCCGCGCTCGGCGGGGGCCGCGCTCGGCGGTGCGGCGGGCCCGCGGGCACGCACGCGGCCGCCGCACGCGGCCCGCGCGAGAGGAGAGGGGCCCTCTTCGCAGGGGCCACGGTTAGGTCGGGCCTGTCCCCTTGCAGGGAGGATTTTCGACGAGAAAAGAATAGAAAATACATCAAAAAAGCTTCAAAAAGGTCAAGAATGCTCAAAAAAATAGTCCCCGAGGGGACTAGAATACTCAAGAATGCTCAAAAAAGCTTCAAAAAGGTCGGGCCTGTCCCCTTAAAGGGAGGATTTTCCACGAGAAAAGAATACGGTAGGTTTGCGTCGTGTCGACCGGCGGCGACCCCAGCGCGGGCGTTCAAGGTTGAACGCCGGCGGCGGCCCAGAATCGGTCGATGTTGAACGATCGGACGCTGCGGAAATGGCCGATCGTTCAAGGTTGAACGATCCCTGCGGTGTCAAAAACCAACGCCGGGGTCGACACGACACGAACCTGCCGTACCCCAACAAAGCTTCAAAAAGGTCAAGAATGCTCAAAAAATGGTCCCCACACTATTTTTGGATTTTGGTTTGGACCCTTTGGGGGGCATGTTTCAGTTTTCGTCGAAGATCCCCCTGTAGGGGGACATGCCCAACTTAACGCAGGGGCCACGGAGGCAGCGGTGGCCTGGGCCAGCTCTGGCATTGGGCGTACCCCGCCGCCGGTGCCTGCCTAAAAGCTCGGAGGTCCGCGCGGGTTTCTCGGACTGGAGCTGGAGCCTCCGGCGCCTCCGGCGCCGCCTCCGGCGCCGCCCCTAGCGCGCTTCGCGCGCCAGGGAGGGGGTCCAGCGCAGATCCAAGAAGTCCGTGCGGTGCGCCAAACGTTTATTTTTATGGTGCTGTCTTTTCTTCGATATAGATATGGAGGAGAGGGGGCGGTCTGGGAGCCGAGGAAGGGGATCCTGGCAGGGATGCGTTCCGGGGACGTCCTCCCAGGTGTCGCCTGTGGGTCCGTGCAGCGGTTCCAGAAGCGAGGGCCTCTCTACATTCCAGCAAGATCCTGGAGCTCATGCTGAGCCAGTCATATAATGAGGACAGTCTCGTGCTGGAGGATGACATTCGGGGGAGGCGGGTCTCACGGCCGGGGCCACGATGTCGCCCAAGATTTCATTCGGCGGCGAGCGAGCCGGGGGGAAGTGATAAGGAGAAGACCCTCTCAGAAGGCTCGGAAGTCCCGCGGCCTTCCGAGAAGTGTTCTAAGCCTTCCCCGACGGTTCCGACAAAAACTTCTCCGAAGGCGCGAGGGAGTTTCTGAGAAGTCCTGCCGCCTTCTGAGATGGCCATCTCCGTCTCACTTCCCCCCCTCGCTCGCCGCCGATGCATGGCCTGATGGGCCGATGTTCCACCACCACTACCACAGGTAGGAGGGGGGGGAGGAGGAGAAGGAGGAGGGAGAGAAGGAGGAGGAGAAGGAGGGCCTCCCCATCCTCCTCTTCCCCGTGCTAAGTATGACAGCGGTGGTGTAAAGTAGGCCCATCATGGTCCCTCCGTCTTCTCCCTCTTGCCACGCGTTCCCGGGAGCGGCGTCCGCGCACGTGCACGCCTCGGGCCATGGTGCGCCCCCCCCTCGCCCCCCCGTGCCGGCTGTTCCCTCCCCGGGCGCCCACTGGTGTTGCCGCTGCCGAGCGGCGAGATGTGCGGCGAGCCGATGCAGCGCTGAGGCCTCTGGAGGCTCGAAGGGGATCGACCGAAGAAACGACGCCATAAGCATAAACTGTTGGCGCTCCGCGCGTACTTCTTCTTGGATCCGCGCTGGGCCCTGGCGCGCTCTGCGCGCCAGGGAGGGGGTCCAGCGCAGATCCAAGAAATCCGTGCGGAGCGCCTCAAGTTTATTTTTATGTGCTGTTTTTTCTTCAATGCACAATAATTGATATACCCCAGTTCTGACATGTTCGTTGGACTTACGAACGTACGTAGCATGTTCCTTTATCGGCGAGCATTATACCTATTTGTTTGTCGATCCGACGGACGGTTTGGGGCAACTCAAGTACGTAGTCGAACCCCTACTCGAAGGGTGATGGTCGAGAGGTCCGGGGCCACGAGGATCGAAAGTGTCGAGCCTCCGGAGGTCGAGGCACCTCCTGCGGGCGTTCATGGGACTCCTCTCGGCGGCGAGCGAGGCGGGAAGTGAGCAGGAAACGGCCCTCCTCACGAGGCGACAGGACCTCTCAGAAGCTCCCTCGCGCTTTCTGAGAGATTTTTTTTGTGTTGTCGGGGAGGGCTCGGAAAATCGGGCCGGACGAAAGGGGGGGATTGGGAAAGGGGGGGTTACGAAATTTGCTGCATGCAGCTGGTTTCGGCCCCACCGAGGGGTCCATTCCTCGATACATGGGCGCCTCCCGGCGCCGGGAGGCGTCGGGAAAATCAGCTACGCGAGCTGATTCTCAAGCCCCGCGTTTGCTATCCCCCCCTTTCGCCCGACCCGATTCTCGGAAGTCTGGGGGACCTCCGATTTTTCCGAGGAGGCCCTTCCCCTCCTCGCCTCCCCCCTCTCGCTCGCCGCCGCTCGGGCTCCTCCCTCGAGCGAGGAGGCTCAGGGATGCAGCAGGCTGTCCGGCATCCCTCCCTGAGGAGAGGAGGAGGAGGAGGAGGAGGAGGAGGAGGAGGAGGAGGAGGAGGAGGAGGAGGAGGGGGAGGACAGGGGCGCCTCCCCGGCCCTCAGTCTGATGCACCATGCTAGCTGTTTCCCTCCCTTCTCGCCGTCTCCCCCCGTGTTCCCCCCTCCCCTCTGCTCTGGCTCATCTCATGCTCGAGGGGGGTCGGCCAGCAAGGAAACGACACCACACCACCTTCGGCCCTCCATGTTGCACTTCGGCCCGTCCGGGGCCGCGGCGTGCACCCTGCAAGAACCCAAGCTGGATGTCATGGTGTTCGCTAAGGCCCGTGGGGTCGTATGCGGGGTGGTGTCGTTCGGGTTCCTGGTCCAGTGGTGCCAGGTGCGCACTCTTCTGCCCGCGCGCCACGCCGGAAACCCAGCTCGGCGGCGGCAGTGTTGCCCAAGCGCCGCGCCAAGGGTTGGCGCATGGCTTATGTTCTGGGACACTTTGCGTTTGAGCGTGCAGGTCCCAAATCCTCGACGCTTCGCGCCGCCCTGCCGGCCCATCCAACGATAGGCAGCAGCCGAGTTGCCTTGGTCAGGTCGTGTAGCAGCGTGCGGCCCATAAGTGAATCGCATCCCTCTTCGAATCGATATCGGTGCGGGTCTCTGGAGGTCTCCTTGGGATACGACGACGACGGCGACGGCGACGGCGGCGGCGGCGGCGGCGGCGACGACGACGGCAGCGGCGGCGGCGGCGACGACGACGACGTCTCTTGGTGCCATTGTGGGGACCCCTTGGGGTCATGTTGGAGGCCTATTGGGCCCTCTAGGGGCTCTCTTAGGGCCGTCTTGGAGCGCTCTTTTGGTGGGGGGCCTCTTGGAGGCATTGGGGGTTGTTTTGCGGCCATCGTGGAGGCATCCGATCAAAAGAGGAAGTGTCGCCAATTTGGGCTCTCCCCGTCGGAGGGGGCCTTCTTGGGGCGATCGTGGTGCGTTCTTGGGCGCGCTCGGGGCCGTGTTGGGCCCTTCTCGGGCCTCTCTCAGACGATCTAGGATCCATCCAAAGGGCTCAGGAGCCTAGTGCAAGCGAAACGGCCAGACGGCGAACATTTTGTTTTTTCAGGTTGTGGGATGATTTGGGCCTCCTGGGGGCCTCCTTGGGAGGCTCGGAGTGCACTTGTAACCGCCCTGGTGCGATCTTGAGGTCTCGTGCAAGCCTGTTGGAAGCTATCTTGAACTCGGCAGGGATATGGTAGGTTCGCGTCGTGTCGACCGGCGGCGACACCGCGGCTGGCGTTCAACGTTGAACGACGCCGGCGACCCAGAATCGGTCAATGTTGAACGCTCTGGAGTTTCGGAAAGAGCCGATCTTTCAAGGTTGGACGATCCCCAGGGTGTCAGGAACCAACGCAGGGGTCGTCACGACATGAACTTGCAGTATCTTGAGCGATCTTGCAGGTCATCTTGGGCGCTCCGAAGGCCATCTCGGAGCGATCTTGGGCAATCTTGGACGCTCCAAAACGCTTCGCGAGACGCCCTTCCAGACCCAGGGGGAGGAGAAGGAGGAGGAGGAGGAGGAGGAGGAGGAAGAGGAAGAGAAAGAGGAGGGGGAGGAGGACGGGGAGGGGCAGAGGGAAGGTGACCCCCTCCCCGAAGGTGAAGAAGGGGGTTAGCAGAAGGATCTCCTCGACTACTTATGCCCATAGGGCTGGTGGGATTTCGTGGTGTACATCGCCGAATGTGACTCGTGTTGCCGTTTTGCTTCCAAGCTACGGTCCGATGCACGGGCTTGCCTGTGCCAGGTCGGCTCGTGCTGCATTCCAGACTTGCTTGGCGTATCTGTGATTGTCGTCGTGGCTGTTACTGTGTTATGCGGGGAGGCAGGCCAGAGGATGTATTAACTCTGTGTTCTGCGCCGGCATCCGAAGTTCCTCGTGTTTGCCGAGGGCAGTGGTTGTTGTTCGATTATGTATGTTCACATGCGTATGCACACATGCACCCCAAAATTCAGTCATGAACATGCGGGCGGCCATGCGCGTGAACACGAGCATGAGCCGAAGTGCATGCAAACGGCACTCACGCCCATCACCATGTTACTATGTTCCCGCCTGCTGTGGCGCGTCCGTGATTCAGCTCTTTCGAGATTCCACAACCAGGTCTGTTTGGGATGACGACGCCCCATCAGTGGTAAATGTATGGAGCAATGAGAGTTGGAGGAGGGGAGGCAAGAGGAGCGTGCCGCGGCCAGAACGATGCCGAATGCTTGATTCGTGCATCGCGCCTTTGTGTACGTCTCATTCGCCTTTATCGCTCCTCACATCGGCCCTCGATCCTCGCATCGGCCCTTGGGTCCTGTGTCGTTCTGAGTCTCTCTCTCTCTGTCTCTCTCTCTCTCTGTGTCCCTCTCCCCTCGACGTTGTGCCCTGGACCCGTCAAGGAGAGCGCGTGCGACAGGAATTGCCCCTGGGCTTCAGAGAGAGGCCTTAGAGGCCTCGTTCTCATGCTTCTACTTCCCCATTGCCTCTCCTTCTCCTCCCTCCTACCCCCGCCTGTCCCTTCACCCTCTCTAGGATGCAACTCATGGGAGGTTGAATTCAGCATCGGCGTCAATATATCCGTGGCCAGACACCCCGCTATCCTGGCATAGTCGGGCTTAATTCCGCTCAGTCCCGCTTCTGTCCCGCGCAAGCCGCCTCAATCCCGAGCCTACCCTGGACTGGCCTGGCGTAGTGGCCCGTGATCGTTCTTACGAAGACCTCCTAGACGTTGCCTCCTAACTCTCTCCTCCTCCATCTCCCTCCTCTTTCATTCCTCCGGCGTCACCTCGAAAAACTAGTATGGTGCGGGCGTCGCCCCCCCTTTGGGCGACGCGCGCATCCAGAGATCATACGGCATATGCGTTGTGGCGGGCGCTATTTTGGGCCACACCGCTCGGGAAACGACGTATTGCGAGATGGGTATACGATATGTTCGGGTCGGACGCGAGCCTCCAAGGAGGACATATAATATTAGTATGTGTCTGCCCCCGCCCTCCTCACCCGACGACGGTGGCGGTCACGGCGGCGACGCTGACCCGGACAACCACGGCGTCGACCCCCCCCGCGCGAGGGTGCGGCGGAGCCTCAAAGGCCGGTTGAGATGGGCGCGCACAAGTGCGTCCTGGCCTCCCGGTCCGCCTATTTTCGGCGCCGCCGCCCGCGCGCCCAGCCATTCTTCCTCCTCCTCCCCCTGCTCCTCCTCCCCCCCTCCTCCTCCTCCTCCTCCTCCTCCCTCCTCCTCCTCCTCCTCCTCCTCTCCTCCTCCCTCCTCCTCCTCCTCCCTCCTCCTCCTCCTCCCCCCTCCCCCTCCTCCTCCTCCCCCTCCTCCTCCTCCTCCTCCTCCTCCTCCTCCTCCTCCGCTCCGTAGCCATTTTGGCTCAAGGCTCATGCTGTTGCGGGCTGAGCCCGTATTGGCTTTCACGGATACCGCTAGTCCGCGGCAGTGCCAGAGCGTTTACGCTCGACAGTTTCTTTCGCCTTCACCGAGGGGTTGGGCTCCCTCACCCAGTTTCGTCGCCACGACTAGGCCGTGCGCTGGTCGGTGGCTAGTGTTCCTCTTGGGCTGCTCGGCGCAATGGGACCCAAGCAGCGTGTCGAGAACGCGCAGCCTTGGAAGTGCAAGTGGTGCGTGCACAAGCCCACTGGGACAGCCTGGATCAATCGTGCTGATCACAAGTGGTGTGCGCTTTGCAACTTGCCCAAGGGATCGGCGTTTGGAGGAGTGCCGCAGCCCAAGGTCCCAGTGGTGCGCAGCCCTGCGTTGCAGTCTCAGCGTGAAGTTGCCCTGGCGCGTCAGCTTGCCGACCTTCAACGCCAGTTGCAGCAGTTGCAGCAGCCCTCAGCCGACACTGGCGCCACATCTGCTCCAGTTCCGCCCTGGGCCACTGACGCCAGTCCTCAGGCTGCACGGCGAGCACGGCTGGCTGAAATTGGCAACATTCTCAAGTCGCTGGGGACCGCCGATGCCGAGTACCGTGCCAAGCTGCTGGCGGAGCGCACGTCCCTGCAGGAGCAACTGCAGTCCGAGAAGCCACTCGAGAGCAACGTCAGTGCCCAGAATCGGAAGGTCACCGAAGCTCGTAAGAAGAAGGCTAACTGTGCTGCCAAGGTCCAGGCAGCAAGGGATGCAGTCGAGAAGGCCAAGGAGGCCCTGGCCAAGGCCGAGGCCGCCGAGACCGAGGCGGCCACCAACCTACTATCCCTGGAGAATGAGCTTCGGGAAATTGTGGCGCGTGGGCTTCCCGTCGGTGGTGATGCAAAGCCACCAACGCTCAGCACGGTCATCCCTGGCCTCAAGTCAACCGTGTCTCAGCTGGGTGAAGTGCTGCAATCTCTCGGTGGCTCTGAGCGTTTCGCTGCTGGCATGCAAGCAATGGCGGAAATGGTCGCTAAGTTGGAGCAGGAACCAGCAGCAGCGCAACAGCCACCACCTCCTGCAGCTGAGCCCGATGACCAGGCCGAAGAAGATGTTGAGGAGATGGCTGTCGATCAAGAAGGAGAAGCTCACAAGCACATCGACGAGATGGACGCGCCCACTTGTCGGGAGCACCTTCGCAGCTGCGGGCTGGAGGTACCCGCGCCTGGCGACGTGGATGATGATGATGAAGCTCCTGTGCTGCGTGATCGCCTCAAGAGGCACTTGGCCAACGCCCAGGGCCTCGCCAAGAAGCTCAAGGCCACCGCGAAGTGAGCGCCTGAGTTCCCGTCTTGTTGCTGTGTCCATCCTACTTTGTCTTGCAATGATGACGGCTCAACACACCAACCTGGACGACTCGGACGTCGACCCGTTTCAGGACATCGACGACCTTGGTCCCGCTCTTTCGGGACACCTATGCATATCGGGGATGGATGGCGTACTACCTACGAGTGCGACGCCTACAGCGCCTGCGGCAGCAGGCGTTCCATCTGCTTCGTCTTCTTTGTCGAGTTCGACGGGCTGCGGGCCCCCTGCGAAAGCTGCCCCCCGCCATGTGTGTGAACCCTCGGTAGGCTGGTGTTCTGCTTCGGCAGTGGGCCAGGACCGCCGTGCGAGTTCTCTGGGCTTGGGATCGGCTGGAGGGGAGCCCGCGAGTACCTCTTCGACCTCGGCCACGCGCGGACCTACGAGTACCGCGTCCTCGCCCAAACCTCTTGCCGCATCAAGTTCGAAATCTAGCAGGCACATGCCGCGCATCGTCTCGCTCAACGGCAGCTCTTTCGGGCCCATCGTCGACTACGCGGTGCAGGCTGAGTGCTCGGTCATGGCCGTTCAGGAGACGCATGTCGACCAGGAGCACTTGGCTGACAAGCAGCATGCCATGCTCGACGCGGGCTGGAGAGGCCTGTGGGCACCCGCCATACGCAGTAATAGCGGAGCTGGCACTACAGGTGGCGTGGCCGTGTTGGTTCCGTCGCACATCACGGCCACGGCCCCGCCGCAGCGCGACAGCCACATATTGATTCCAGGACGCGCAGTGGCCTGCCACGTTAGATGGGGACTGCCAGGAGGTCTCGTGGTCATCTCGGCGTACCTCAAGGATGGCGAGGGACTCGGTGCGGCCAACTGCTCGCATGTTTGGACCCTCGTGCAATACGTGTGCGGGCTGTGCGCGATCCAGGTGCCCTGGATCATTTGCGCGGACTGGAACATGGAGATTGACGAGCTCAACATGTCAGGCTGGTTGGAGGCAGTGAGTGCCCTCGCATATGTATCCGCCCTGCCCAGCTGCAGGCACTCCCGGCCTGGCTCTTTTATGGATCTTTTCGTGGCTAGCAGCATGCTAGCGACTCGTTTGCACAGGCAGGTGTTCGTTGATGAGGAGGCCTCTACCTATCCTCACCTCCCTATCTCCATAGGCTTCGCCGCGTCTGACACCCCGATGTGGGCCAGAGTCCCCGATGAGCCCAAGCCGTTCCCTGCGGTGCCCCCTGTCGGGTGCGCGAGGCCCCCTGTGTACCCTTGGAAGGCCGTGCTTGAGGTTGCGGGCCCCAAGCTTTTGGCCCAAGGCGACCTCGCGGGGCTCTGGGACCTGGTCATCTCGGGGATTGATTTCGAGCTGTCCTCTAGGTGGGACCGCATAGAGGTCCTGCTCGTCTGGTGTCTTGGGGAGAGCGGGCCCGCCCAGAACGAGGTGGAAAAAACTGGTGTGGGCCCCCCCCAAGACTCGTACGTACAAGGACCCCAGTACCAAGGCTTGGGCCACAGCTTTGGGCTGGGCGAAGCACCTTGGCAAATGCAGGCAGTTTCTCACCAAGGAGGTGGCAGGCCTCCAGGAGTGTGCAGCCATATGCGATTTGACTCCCAACCAGCATGTCAAGCTACTGCGTGCGCTGGCTGAGGCCTCCAATTTCATGATCAAGGTCGGTGCGTGCAAAAAAGTGCTGGCCAGGCTCGACGACCGCACTTCTGAGTTTTTTCGGTCGGGGTTTGCCGTCCTGGCCAGAGCGGATTTTGCTGAAGTCCTTATGCATGTGTATCTCACCGCCAAGGCCAAGATAGGGGCTGCCGAAGCCGCCGCGAGCTCTGCATGGCTGGCCTGGGCCCGAGAAGCCTTTCAGAGCGGAGCGTCTCAGGCCCATAGGTTCAGCAAGGTGCGAGCGGTCCAAGAGGTCATTGCTGCTGGTTCCAAGTCCCAACCCTTCCAGCTTGCTGACCAGGAGATGCAGCCATGGGCTGACATCTGGCGGACCCACGGTTGCCCTAAGCTTCCGCTCCCCGATGGGGCCCACGCCTGGCCCCCGCTCCCTTGCATCACTGCCTCAGAGGTGGAGGATTGCATCCAGCTGTTTAAGATCAACACGGCGGCAGGCCCTTCGCGCATAGCGCCCAGGGCTCTGCTCCACCTCAGTCAGGGCGCCTACGAAGGCATAGCGTATTTGTTCAACGGATGCGAAGCCCAGCTAGCTTGGCCAAACGATCGTGTTTGGACGGAGATGGTGCGTTTGGCCAAGCCTGATGGGGGAGTCCGCTTGATAGCCCTCATTAACACCCTCTGCCGAGTATGGGGCAAGATTAGGAAGCCCGTCACTTGCAGCTGGCAGGAGTCGCATGGCTGCCTCGAGATCTGGGGCACCAGGAAGCGGCATAGCTCCACGGACAGCGCCTTTGCGCACAACCTGTCCGCGGAGCTAGCGTCCCTGCTCGGCGAGATCTCCATCTCAGTTTTGCTGGATATGATTAAGTGTTTCGAAATGATTCACCCTGCCCAACTCATCAAGGAGGCAGAGGCTGTCAGCTTTCCGCCCCGTCTCGTGTGGATGCTCGTGGATTTGTACAGGCAACCACGGCGTCTGAAGGCATTCGGAAGCCTTTCCGAGTCCCTCGAGGCTTTCCAAGGCATTCTCGCTGGATGCAGCCATGCCACAGGCATGCTCTTCGTGCTGACTTTTCGGGCGCTCAAGCGCCTCAACAAGATTGCCCCGTGCGTGACTCCGCGGGCGTTAGTAGATGACGTGTCGCTGCAGCTGGTCGCCACGACGCCTGACACCTTGCCGCAGCTTGAGAAGGCTGTACGGATCTTCAGGTGTGATGCCCAGCTCTTAGGACTGAACACCCAGCCCAAGAAGTCTGGAATCGTGGCGGCCTCGGGAAGGTCCAAGAGGTTATTTCGACAGGGTGCGGCGCAGCTCAAACTTCAGTTTCGGCCATGGATGCGAAACCTGGGGCATGAGTTAGCTGGTGGCAAAGTGTTGAGGCTCCAGGAGAAGGCACGCCTCAAGTCCCTGCAGCAGCGCCGCCGCAAGTACATGGCGCTGCGCAGCGCCGTCGGGCGCAAGGCCTCGCTCTTGTTCAGAACAGGAGCGCTACCGGCCGCAGGGCATGGTGGCGGAGTTTCTGGAGTTTCAGATGTGTCTCTTCGGTATTTCAGACAATTGGCTTCTACTCTCGCAGGAGGCAAAAAGCATGGTGGGGTCACGGCTTATCTCCTCGCTCACCGCGACCCCTTCTACGATCCCATATTCGACTGCACGCTCACCATATGTCTCCGCTACGCGGCCTGGATTTGGGACAGAAGAGTGTGTCTTGGGAGGGCCCAGAGGGCCTGGGCCCAACTACGTGGCTACTTCGACGACAACCCGACGTGGCAGATCGCGAAGGGGCCCATGTCGGCCTGCTGGCTCTCCCTGCATCGTATCGGATGGGCCATGACCAGCGCCCACACCTTCCTCTCGGACACTAATTTCACGATAAACCTTGTCACGACTTGCCCGTACGACGTCAAGCTACATTTGATCGAAGGGATTCAGAGGTGGCAACATCGTCGGCTGCTTCATCACATGCCTACGTCACAGGGCACCGAGCAGGTATGGCACAGGGCGTTGCGAGGAGGTCTTCAAGCGATTCGGTGTCCGCGTCAACTGGGTGCTCTCTCGGCCGTCATGGCCGATGTTATTCCTCTACCAAGTGTGCGTGCCTCCCAGGGATACCGCATAGGCCCCGAATGTCGTGTGTGTCAGGCTCCCCTGGGCTCCTACGGGCACATCTGGTACGACTGTGCGGGCTTGGTAATAGACGGAGTTGACGCGCTCGGCGAGCAGGTCCCCGACGAGATTCTGAGCCATAGGAGTGCCTTAATTAATTCTTGTCTTGATATTTTGGGGAACCCGCAGGCCGAGACAACCTATCTCTCGTATGGGATCCCCTCGCTCTCGGTGGCTTTGGAGCCCCCCGAGGCCCACCCTCAGGTCCTGCACTGGGGCAACGTTTCAGGCCCGTGGGGGCCAACTTGTTTCGTCGACGGGAGCTGCCTCCAGTCTAGTCTCCCTGAGGTTGCTCGGGCTGGCTGGGCTGCGGTCCAATTAAGTCAAGATTTAATTCCAGTTCGTGCTGTCTTTGGCGCCTTGCCTGGCGTGCGCCAAACAATCGGACGTGCGGAGCGGTGGTCAATACGCCAGGCTCTGCACTATGCGCCTAGCGTGGAAAAAATTGTGTCCGACCTGCAGGCCAGCGTTCGTGAAGGCAACGCTTGGGACCCAGAGCAGGCTGCTGGACTTGCCAAGCATGCGTCGATTTGGGCGGACATTTTCAGGAACCAGCAGCACGACCCCCCCCAATTTGTTTGGTGCCCCGCCCACCTTTCGCTCGATGATGCGATTGATAAAGGCATCGCTCTCGAGCACTGGGCGGGAAACCTTTGGGCGGACTTTTTCGCGAAGCTCGGCTCGGAGTCCCACAGTTACGCGGATGGATTATGTAAGGCCTTGGCGGGGGAGTATAAATATCATAAGTCCACGCTTAAGTTCTTAGCATGGGCTGCTCAGAGGATGTTGCAGTCCCAAGCGTGGTCTGGTGATCCTGAAGTGCCCCTGGTCTCCTCCACCCCCCCCCTTCCCCCCAAGCTTACGATCACCAGCCACGAGATCTGGCACAGCCAGAAGGTTGCTGTTTGGAGGTGCCGTGTGTGTGGCAGGTTCGCCCGTAGCCTCAGCTCTCTCAATGCTATGCTCACACAGAGAGCCACGCGTGATTGCATTGCTAGTCCCGTGCAGCTCCTGGCGGCCTCGGAGTGGTGGAAGGCACATGCTTCCGACCAGGGGTTTTCCCAGATGAGATCCGAGGCCGTGCAGGTGGCTTTGGATTTCTCGCAGAGGGAGGCTGAGCTGTGCCGTCAGACCGAGGGGCCCGACTGTGCTGTTGTGGTTGGCCCGTGTTCCCCTGTGCCCCCCTCGGGGCCCTGTGGGCCCGACCGGTTCCCCCAGTTCTCGGCCCTCGGTCACGACGTTTTTAAAAATTTTGATCACTTCTGCTGCCGCAAGTGCGGTGGGCATGGCACGCTCGGCAATTTCGTGAAGTTAGCCTCCAGGTGTGTTGGGTTTTCAGCCGTCGCCTCCACGAAGGCTAATCAGCGCATGGTTATAAGGAGGATTGAGGCTGGCCTACATCCGAAGTCTGGAGAGTGGCTCTCTGGCCATGCTTGTACCACGGATGAGGGCAGGCCCGCCTCTAGCATGCAGGGTGGGCGCGAGGATAATCGTGCTGCCTCCCCTGCCGTCTCCTGCCCCGTTGGGGGCCCTCCCTCCTCTCGCCTGTCCGTTGTCCCTGGGGCCGAAGGCGTGAGAGGTGAAGGTGCGTGTGGTGTGACCTCGATCGAGGTCCAGAGGCCGTCCCGTCGAAGGACCGCCCCTCGGCTGGTTTCACCCCGTGTGATCCCCTCCAGGGGGGACGACGATAGCTCT